AAGTATTGTCAGTAGCAGTTCTTTGTTGCAGTAGAACACAGCTACTAAGTCTTAGCTTGAAGCTTGTTTTCTGGATGAAAATAGGAAAATATCAGGCCGGAACAATTTTCTCCTGTTATTGATGTTCAGAAGAGTCTACCAGGACATGTTCATTATTAGCTTAGCTTCTACTCTGGAGAGTAGCGTGCTGTGGCTTTGCTCAGTTTAATATTTTATTTTTGTAAACTATTATTACTGCATTTGAAACATAAAGCATGGAGATTCTGGTCTTAATTAGGCAGTTGAGACAGTGCAACTGTAATGCAAATGATTTTCAGGAAATGAGCATTCCCAAATTGTTCAGGCCAGGATATTTCTTCGTTACAAGCTAATTGTTCATAATAGCTGAGATAGTATCGTGAAATCCTGAGGATTTTATTGTGCTTCTTGCAGCTCCTCCAACCATAGTGAACTTCAGATTTCATTGCCAAAGAAAAGCAGGGAAAACACAATGTAAATTTTCTGGTGACTGCAGAAAAGCTGCAAAAAGTAAAATAAACACCATGTCTGCACTGCAAGCAAGTGCCTCCTCTTTTTAAATGCATAGATCTGCAAGACAGTTTAATAGGTGTAGGGACAGGAAGAGCATCTGAAAAGGTCAAGTACACAACAGTGCTGCAAGTACTGGCTGGCTCTGACAGTTGAAGATGAATGCAGTAACTACGTTTTGGACATGTAGCTGCTTGATTTGCAAGTACAGCCCATTTATTACCCATCCAGAGCTCCAAGAATGGAACATATGGTTAATAATGAGCCCCCAAATTGATGATGCATCTATTTGTGAGTCGAAAACTGTATCTGTAAAATCAGACTTTGAACTGAAGCTCTTTCATGAGCTGAAGCTTTAAACTGCTTTTGGAATTGCATATCAAATAGAAATGATGAAAGGGAAAAAGGTGAGAAGTTTCTCTCTCAGATCTGTAACACTTTAATCAATGTCAAACCCTGATCTTAAACCCTCAAGAGAGATTGTATATAACGTCAACAGCCTACATGAGGCTATTCTAAATTGCATTATATATGCATATATATATATATATACATATATGTATCAGATATTGGCGACCTATGAGGACAGCTGAATAGCTGGATAGCTACTTGTGTTAACTTACTTTAGTTAATCAGTTTTGCAAAATATGCATATTCTGTATTTCATCAGAAATATCACCATACTACAACAGAACTTTTGATCACGTGCATAAATACTGGTAAAATATATTTTCTTTGACTCTTTGCTAACAATTGATATAGAATTGCATTTCCCACATGTATGTAGCCATTTCATCCAGGTTCACCAGTTGTTTTAAAAAGGAAAAACAAAACTGTTGTTTAAACATGATCTTTCTTCCTCCTTCTATCTCTCCCTCTCTCCCTTTTTAAATGGTCAGGTAGATTAAAATAGAAGCAAAAAAGGGGTTCTGAAAACAAAATATCTATGTCCAACAAGACAGGTTACATACACAAGGTACTGTTGGGAACTAGATGACTCCTGAATAGAAAAATTCAATGAATTTTTTAACCGGAACTCTTCTGTATAAGAAGAGCAAAGTCTAATTTTCCAGAATTCTAAAGAGCTTTCCACTGAAAGCCCAAACAGAATTTACCTTTCCCTCCAGTGGTTCTCCTTCTGAAAAGGGAAATCAATAATATTCACATGTTTCCAAGGAGTTCAGAACCATTCAATTTCGTTTGTTCAGAGCATTGTAGATGGAAAGCAAAATGGACAGTCCCATCACTGCTGCTCTTGTGTCTGAGATGGTAAATGAAGCCTTGGACTGGAGATGTTGAAACACCATTTTCATGAATAGATAAAACTGGTCCCTCACTGCACAGCATGCATGGGTGCACCAGTCTGTGGTCCCGGGTGTTGGGTTCCCCAAAGAGTATTGTGTGGAGGACTAGGATGAGGAAGAGATTTCAAATCCACTTTGCAATACCTTTTCCCCCAAAGAAGGCCATAGAGACTCATGCCTTGTGTTATTTATTTGAAGGAGAAGAGAAATGTCATATGTTGAAATGGCTGTGCAGTTAAAACACCTGGACCAACAAAGATACTATGGAATGTTACCATAAAATACAAGGAAATCCAAGTTACTAGGGCCTGATGCAGTATTATTATTAKTAKTAGTAGTATTTTCCTGAAAGGGTTTCAGCACAAACTGTTCTCATTAATTTGAAATTAAAGCTTTCATTCTGGACTGCTTGTGACAACCCCTTCATGAAGACAGCCTATTTACTGGATACACGGGTGGCATTCACACATTTATTGCATTATAGCAAGAAAATTGACAAGTTCTTATCACTTCAGTACAAAGAAAATGAACATTTGGAATTGTGCAACCTCCTACAGAGGCCTAATTGTTCATGATCTTCTAATTCTTATGGTGCAAATAAATTTGGTCTCAGATCTTTACAACTCATAAATCCTTAGTCTTCTAGACTGCCCTTTCTGCCCTCTGGCTATCACAGCTGGAAAATCAGGATCAGAAACTTTGCTCTAGTAAAACTTTGCTCTTTAGTAAAGATAGTACAACAGAAATAAGGAGAAAAGATGGTGACTTGGGAGTTTAAAGGAGGTTTATACAATCCATTGAAGAAAAGAAAAAAAGATAAACTAAGTGCACTTTAAGTGTTTTATTTACGTTTCTTTTTAATTACTTTTATTCCAAATCTTTGCATATAGATTTCTAGAAACATTTGTGAGTGGAAGTTATCAATATGTTTAATAAATGTTGAGTAGAAGCCGTCAAAGACAAATAATCTGAAGATAACAAAAAATCATCAACATCTGCTCTTTTTGGTGCAAGTAGAAAACATAATCATTTTTGGAGAAAATGACAACTTCCTCTGCTCCACCTGAGGCATCCAGTTTTATAAAGCATGGCATAAGATTAAGCTTGTGAAATTTAGCCCTTTACAAGTCAACTAAATGTCTAGATTCTTGTGATCCCCACAATATTGTTCCAAGGTATATATTAAATGTCATCCTTGATAGAGCATCTGTATAGCTTACCTTAAATAATGCTTTAAATTCAAAACAGYTGACCCAACACTAGGTCTGTGCTGAAGCTTTACTGCTGAGATTATTAAACTAGTAACATGACATTGGTGCAGCTGCAGTCTCTGTTTGCAAGTCATCTGCAGCTAATCTAATCATCCTATGCAGTCACATATTGCTTTATAACCTGAACTAGGTCAACTGAGGTGGAATAATTGAGGCTAATTGTTGTAGCACAGACAAGCCCTGGATAGAACTAAAACATTACGACATTACAGCACCATGTATTCATGCTAGAGGGCACTCATATTTCATTCTGAACAGTAATAGAGCTTGGCATTTGTGTAATGTGTCTTCAAAGCACTGTGCCAAGAGGAACTTTCAAGGAATCCTGTGAGGTAGGTGTGTACATCAATCCCTATTTAACAGATGAGGAAACTGAGGCAGAAATGTTATTTGACTGATATCACAGCAGGAGCCTGTGTTAGAGGATGACACTTCAATCAGGACAACTTGGGAATTTCTCTCCCTGAAAAAAAGCCATCATATATATATTTATGTAGTATATGTATGTGTGTATGCTTAGTGTATATACATTATATATATATATATGTATATTTGCATCCATCTATGTGTGTATGGCTTAATTCTGGCTCTTTATTTTTAAAAGTACCACTTTTTCTTTTTTTCTTTATCTAAAAGTTCTGGTTCAATTCTAAAATATTTACAGTTTAAGGCTTTAAACAGAGCACATAAGGAGCTACATCTCTACCTTTTGTTTTTCTCTGTAGTGGATATATATTAAGAGATGATTTAGGAATAGACTAAACTTGATATCTCAGTTCAATAGGTCTAATAGGGATAAGGCCGCCCTGGGTTATTTGTTTTATTTTGTTTTGTTTTGCTTTGCTTTGCTTTTCCTAGCCCACATCTATTTACTAGCCTTTGACCACATTTCCCCAGTGGAATATTGCAGGATTTCTGCAAGTCCTATTCTGTCCCCTTGTCTCCACTAAGTATACATCTCTAAAGCCAGAAACTCACAATAGTTCCTGCTACTGAAAGTACACAGCTTAGGAAGGAAAAATCTGAGAGGGAAAATAAAATGGGAGTGATTTGTCTATAGTCCTATGTCACGAGAGAGGCAAAGCTTGCCTTGCAGGGACTTGCAGCTATGTGCCAAGACTTCTTGTCTAGACAGACTTGTTTGAATGACTTCACCAACCTGCATGTTTTGTGAAATTCTGAAAGCAACCACTGCCCTTCCACAATGCAGCTCAACATATATCCAATATATCCCAGGAGTGTTTCTTCCCAAGACTGTTTGTTTTTGCTTTCTACAATCATTCATACAATTATATTTTTAGAAGGGTGTTTTAAGAAAGCAAAGACAGCCGTACCCTTTTATTTGACAAGCCTGAATTCCTGCAAAGTTCAATAGTTAACATTATGATAGATAGTGAGGCCTTTATTTTTCCCAGGAGAATCAATGTTTGGGGACAGAGGTATGCAGGAATTTATTGAATACATATAGTTTAGATATATAGGGACAGTGTATGGAAGGTGGAAACAGTGAAACAAACTCACTGAGATTGTCATTTGGAGGAGATGCTGGTTTCAGGAACACATAATCTTTTTGAAAGCCTTCAACAATTGTACTTGTGAGACTGAACCCGATTCGTTGTTTTGCCACCTTTCACCCTTGACTGTCTTGGTTGATCCTGCTTCATCAGAGGACAATGATGACAAGGGCAAGAATGTAACTCTTCAGAAAGAAGCAGCAACCCCTCCTAAGATCTACATCACAGTTCAGCTCACAGGCTGGGATGCTGAACAACATGAAAGGTCACCCTGTGCTGAACTCCACCACTTCATTCCCACCACTGAACCAGTAATGCTCATGTTTCACAGTGGTCACTCTTGTTGCCTCTTTCTGAACAGACATATTTTTTATTATCATCACCATCTTCCTTGTCTGAAACCAGATCACTCAAATCTGAGGAGTGAAAAGACAGTGTAATGATGATGGTTGCCAGCTCAGGCTACTGAATGATCTGTGACAGAACTGCAAACCAAGGGCTTGAGAAGTGATGGATAAGTGGGATATTGTTTTAGTCACACTGCAGATGAGAACTTTCACACATCACCTTGCAAAGATACAGGTTTGGACATCACTGCTGGCAGTGCCATCCAGTCAGGAAGTCCAGCCATCACTCTGTGTTTTATTTGACCAGTAGCCAAATACAAATTTGTATGGTTTCTGTGAACAGCTTGCAATAAATTTTAGCTGTCAAAGGATTATGGGGAAAAAAAGAGTCATATTATTGAGAGAAATGCAATCTGCTTATGGACAATCTGGGCAGACTGGATATGTTGGGTAAAGCATACCCTGTGAATCATATTTGTTCAACTCTTGTAATAGTCTGAAAGTCTCTTAGGATTTAAAGCAAGCCGAACAACTGACATTCTTGGAGGAATTCAAGTGTGGTTTTATAATATCTGGTTCAATAGACTGAATTGGATCACTCTCACTAGCAATTATGTGTTTCACCAAGCATCTGGAAGCTTCATTGATGTTTATATTTTCCTGCAAGTGAAACAGAAAGAGAAATTGATTAGTCAATATTAATTATACCATACTGCATATTTCCTTCGTATAATTAAACTTCTCTCTGGACAGCATCAAAAGTTTACTTTCCTTAAAATTAGCCTTAAAATAGACTGTATTAAATAACAGTTACTGTAGTTTTTAAATTAGCAAAGCTTTATTCGTATTATGATTTCTAGCTCCTTTAAATTATATACAAGACTCACTTTAAATAACCCTAAAGCTTTGATTATTTGATTGCTTCAATAAGCTAAACAAAGAAAAGTCAGAGAGATGTTAAAGACAAATGCCTCAAGTTAAACTCCAAAATCCATATTTCAGTGCTTGAATAAGGGTTATTCTGCTTTCCAAATTATTAAGTACCTAGCAGCAATTACAGCCATCAATAGCACTTATTTCTAAAGCCTCTTCTGCTGTTTTCATGCAGCTTTTGCTGCAGTGCTCTCAGTGAAACCTGTGATGAACAGCTTCACTAAACAAATACAATTTGAAGTTATTCATTCAACAAAATAGAACAAAAAAAAGTTCTGTAGCATTCATATTAGGCTTTTATTTTTGTTGAGGCAGAGTTATCTCCAGTGCAGTGTTCCAGAAGAAATATATCACCACTGGTTTAATTCTCAAGACATAATCCCCACTCCAGGGGTTTAGAACCAAAGATAAAGCTCGTCTTTTCATACAGGAGCCTGATTTCAACAGCATGTTTAACTGGCACCAATCTTTGTTCTGCTTGTGGAATATGCAAAGCTGAAACAGCCTGATCAGTAAGACACACTTTAGCACAGCATATGAAATAAGAAGTAATATCGAGCAAGGATCTTTTTAATGATGACCACCAATATGAATAGAAGGAAAAGTCAGGATTTCTGGCATAAAAGAAACTCTTCAATCCCAAGTATTGGTATAGGTCACTGTGGCTTGAGTATCCTGGGAAATGATACACAAATACACAGGTGTGTATGTATATATGTACATACTCCTCTTATCTCATGAAGATTAAGTATTTACCTGCTAAGCCTGAGCTAGGTTTCCAAGCTGAACCTAGGTCCAGATGCCCTGAAACCACATGCACTCACACACACAAAACCAGGCAGTAATCTCTCAGTGTTATCTCAGGATCACTGACAAAATAATCTGTAAAATGTGATATTATAACACTTTTTTTTCAGGAGTGCGTGTTCAAAGTTAGTTGAGATGCTTGAAATGCAAAACTTTTTAAAAAAAGAAAAAAAAGGAAACCAGAGCACATCTATGTGTCTTCTAGTGCAGATGATACAATTAAATGAAAGATGAAAAGCCAGAGTAATTATTTGCGAGGCTATTTCTAATCTTGCAGTCGATGGCAAAACTCCATAAATTCCACTGCCCCTTTCTTCATACCACAGTAAAGAGCTGAAATGAAGAGATCTAAGTGAAAATCAGAGCCAAGACTTCACAAGATTCTTCRAACCTCTAAGTGAGTTTAAATATTTAAACTTCCATGAGTAAAAATATTGGTTATTTATTAAAAAAAAACACACAACTACAACACAAAACACTCAAATCTTTAGTCAATCCACTTATATACTAAATCCAAGTAAGAAATATACAGCTGAAAATCATATCTGTAGTAAGATGTCAAAACGCTGCTGTGTCTCGTTGTTCTCTGAGACCAGACAACCAAATTCCTCAAGCATGCAGCAAGTCTTTTTCAGAGAGCTGTGAAGTTTAATTARAAAAAATGCTGATGAAAAATAGTCTCACAGTGCTGCTTAAAAAGCTAAAGATAAAAGCAGGATCATTTAATGCACAAACACACGCAGATAAAAATCATTCGCATCATGTCTTCTGTTATGAATGGAGTGATAAACACTTAATTTACCAATTTGTTGCTGCTCTTTCTGCATTTCTGCAAGAATGTCTTAGTGACTGAGATTGTATCCAAGTCCAGTAATGTTCAGATGTATTAACCAAAATCCTCTTTGTTTCTAGCTTAAGACCAGTGTTTTCTAAGGTCTAAGGGTGGGAAAGAGGCAATGAAACCCAGTCCAAAAAGCATAAAATATTTGTATGTGGACATTTTGTATTCTCACTAGCACTAGAAAGAATTGGAGAGGCCAGATCTGAGCCTAAAGATGCAGAAAGGAAAAACCATGCTGATTTATGTCACCCAACTCTTTTCACTTGACTCAAAGCAAATTGGATTATTAAATCCTCCATAGCTTTTTGGGTAGGAAGCCAAATTGGAACTTGTAMATTTTATTTTGACGTAAAAAGTCAAAATATTTTATTTGGCAACACTAACATGAAATATTTCTCTTTTTCTGAATTGATCATTTTCCTTTTTAGTGAAATAGTTTACTAAATATGACCTATTACTAAGAGTTGCCTGGCCTGATTAAACTATTCAGGAATTTCTTATACTGACTCTGAGAAGTTAGGAAGGATTAGACACAGTTAGATATCGTATCGTCTAGCAATTCTGTTAGAAATGGGGAACAGAATGGTGACCACAAGAGCTGGTGCAGCTCTTTGCAGAGTTTCTCCCCATTTACAGCTGAGAATCAGTACATGGTATAGAGGACATAAAGTCACTGTGCTTTTTCCACCAAAGAGATCCTTAATGCCCCTTCTGAATGCCTTGACTGCTTCCTTTTTCATACTGCTCTTCCCTTTTGTTATAGCCCTAATCTTCTGGTGCCTGCTTCAGCATCCTGGGTCCAGGGATCAGACTTTGCTGTATTCTGGATGGTTGGATGGTGTGTCTAATGAAATATTGATTTCTGCACCTCTCCACCCACAGTGTGTTTTGGAAAAAAAAAAAAAAGAAAAAAAAAGTCAATATTCTGCTAGGCAGCGAAGCAGCTGCAGACAGTAGAAGGTGATCTGCTATCCAAACACAGACACCCACAGACTCGGTAATTTTAGAGCGCAGGAAGTGCTGGAAGGCAATCTAGGGAAGGACAGATTGAGAGCAGCAAGTGAAAAGCCACCCAAGAAAGACAAAGAACGCAATAATGAGGAAGCTACAACAGACAGAGAGGAATAATTACCCCTACCCTGCTCTCTGTACTGAACTGTGGAGACAGCCCCTGGTATGCTTAAGAAGAAAATTCCCTGTGTTTCAAAGAAGGAATGAAAATGCAGGTGAAATTACATCTTTGTATTTTTTTTTAATGCTGAAAAGCCATAACTATCAATTCCCTTATGGCTGTTGTTATGGCTATTGCTATGTTATGGCTGTTGATGAACCAAATCTTTAGCTCACTCTACGGGGCCTGTTCTTCCTCTATGGAGGAGCCATTTTTGATCATCCTGCTGGAGCAATATGTTCCCCCAGCTCTTGAGGCAGCATTGGTGGCACCTTTATTGCTGTATCTTGTTTTTCAGACTCCTCTAAGGTCTTTTTTTGACTTCACAATTTTCCAAAGCCTGGGGAAGTTCTGTCTGCTGACAGCACTTTTACATGTTGCTGCTACTCAGGGCTACATCATTGATCTGCTTATCCTCACAGCGCCTTTCTAAGGTACAGAGGTGCTGCCGGGACTATTTAGCAAAAGTAGAAATTGCAGAGCCCTAAACAGAAGAAATTATGGAAAACCTAACATTGTACATGATAGCTAGTTGGGAAGTAGAAGACAGCCCAGACTGAAGTGTCCACATAATAAGGTAGAAACTCAACACCTCTCAAGCCTTTGGGAGACTTTTTTCTACCAGACCAAAAGGGAAAGGTTCTGGCACATTATATGGTGAATTATTATATGCCTAGTTTTTATAAAACCCTATCCCAGACATGCCTCTTTGCACTGTCCATGCACATGATGCCAAATACATTTCTCTGACTTTGTTGCCTCAATAACCCCAGTAGGTGAAAGAAGTTTCCTCCACATTCTGTGCTGCAAGAGCTAAGCAGCTCTAAGTGATTCAACCTGAGTTAACCTGCAAACATCTATCAGAACAAGGGCCTGAACCCAACCCCTTGAGTGATAACTGACTGCTTGGGTTGGTCTTTTCCTTGATCCCATCAAGAAGGTATAAAAAAAAGTGGAAATCAACACATACTACTCTTTACTCATTACTACACTAAGCAAAACAGTGAAAACTCTGAGTGATGTTTAAAGGCCAGAAAGGAGCACAGAAAGACACAAATGAAATTACAGTTTGCTTTGTAGATAGACATCCCTCTAAAAGGTACCATTTTAAAGGATAGTTTTATGAAACTGATAGCAAATCTATGTGTGAGGACTTCATGTGATTTAAAASTTTTGATCCCATTCCTGTAGGAAATAATGTCACAATCTTGTAATGCAATATTCAGCTCAAGGAAAAATAAATACTTAAATGTGTCTTGAAGCAGTACACAAGCTCAGTGAGCTTCTTTTTATTCTGGATTGCTTCCCTCCTTATCTTTTAATACAAATTCAGAGCATGATGAATTTATAGCATTCTATTTTATGAAATAAATCCCTTTAGACTAGACTGGTTCTTATTTCTTTATTGAAGAAAAAGACCCTTGCTAATTTTATGGGCCTACCTCTGTTCCAAATGAAGCATTTTATTTGTTGACATGCAGATGCCTTTACTTTAGATTTATCAATCTTGTTGTTTTGAAATATAAAACTGTTCATTCTCCACCCTCATATAGCTTCTTTCTCAGACTACGAATCTAATGTTTTTGAATTTGAGCTTGGAAGTCAGGGAAAASGATGACGTGTAGTTATAGCTGCCCAGCAAGGACACTTAATGAGCTCTAAACTCTCAGAGACACGAGTTTTTGACTCTGCCCCTGGAGTTAATGGAAATCAATTTCCATTCAGTAAAGAACAGCAAATTCCAACACTTCCAGGGAACCTAGTGAGTATCACACAATTTCCACATTTTCGTTCGGTAATGCATCAAAATCCAGGAGCGGGTACAAGGCGTTCAAGACRTCTTCACCTGAAATGTGAAGGGAAACCTACCTGCGCAGCCTCAGTAGTGCTCCTTTGGAAATCACTGAG